GAATGGCCGCCTCAATCCCCCGATTTAAATCCTATTGAACATCTCTGGAACGAGGTAGATAGGCGTCTGAAACAATTAGACATCCCAATCAATAATCAAGATCAACTGTGGGACGTTATTCAACAAATTTGGATCACAATAGATAATGAATTTATAACTCGACTAATTGAAAGTATGCCCGAGCGAATGGATGATGTAATTAATGCTAAAGAAGGGTATACTAGATGGCAAAGAATGTTTTGTTTAAATTTTATTAGATTTTATTTGTTAGTTAGTTTGCAATTGTATTTTAATTTTTATGTTTTAAATTAATCAAAAGAAACGCATTACGTAAAATTGCGTAAATCTCTTTTCTTTTATTATTACGATAATAATTACATATAAGATTATCCCCGTATGTTTTTTAAGATTTGCCAATTATATATGTTTAAATTTATGAATTTTCAATGTATGTGCGCAAAGTTATTAATATTGTCGTTTGGATGATGTAAAACATTTGGCAGCCACTGTATAATAGAAAAGATAAATGAAAGTGATTGTCAAAGTAAAGATTTGTGAATAATTACAAGATAAATAGAATCTAATTATTGAAATTAAATTTGTACTTTCAAGTATATTTTTTTAAGTATTCAAGTGGGAATATTTATGTATATTCAAAATTACACAGAATTATTGATTTTTACCGAATATTATACTAGTTATTATGATAGAAGCTATACGAGTATCTAATGAGATTGTCACAAGAAACTAAGCTAGAATCTCATGGATAGCTAATAAGCATCTAACAAGAAGCTAATAGTACCTTTCTATTTCACCAAAAAGGGTGAAGTAAATATCAAGATTCAAAATGTAATACAAAAAAGAAATTAAAAATAAAATTAAATAATAAATAAAAAGATGCTCATAAGTATCTTCATGAATAATAGATAATTAAAAATGAAATTAATAATAAAGTGAAAAGTATCTGATGAGTATCTCATGAGGATTTAATGAGATACTATTGAGTATCTAGGGTAGATACCCATGGGTTGCTAATGAGTTTCTACTTTTTACACCGATTAAATATCTGATTATTCAAAAATCTTTAATTTTCAAAAAATACAAAATTAAAGAAATTTATGTCACTATAGTAGCATTAGCATTCGAGAATGTCGTAACAATTGATAATCAACAATAATCATGATAACTCTCAATGCTCTTACGATACAGTTATCATAATAATCGACTTTTATTATAGTAAAATAATTGAACGATTATTCTGTAATTATTTTCATTGAAAGTTCCGTATTAATATCGAAGATCGTAATTGACATCTGACATTCTACGCTTGTTGAGTTCGTTCATTAATTACCTTTTATTATTATTATAATCTTTCCGACAATTACTCTCAAAGAAGTTTAAATAGGAGAGTTGAAAGAGATGCAGTTCTACAAAATAGCCTCAGTATTAAATATAGATATTTGCCGTAGAATAATCAAATGTATATAAAGGCGAGTTTATAATCTTTAAACAAAACAAGAGACAACTACGAAATAAAAAAAACAAGCACATTAATTTGTGAACCATCCTTTCTTATAAATATTTTCTGTTACTTATCTTTAAACTCTTGCGTACAAGTGACTTCTGTATCTAATATAAATTAGTAGTGGAAAAACTCCACTCTAAGTAAATCCAACCGTTGCTTTGTGCCGTGTCAGAATTTGCTGTGTGCCTAATTCCTCATGTTGAATAGTTGTTGGCCATGTCAATAAATCCACCTTTTCTTGTGTTGGTAGTAAGTCGAAACTACCCATAATCTCGTGAATTAATTAATTCTATTCTAAACCTCCTATTTAATTCCACCCCTTTGAAAACATTTTTAGCAGTTCTCGAGAGAACTACCACAAGAAACCTTTAGAACGGATAGAAATCCTCTTTTTCCATAAATCATTCAGTCCGAAATCATTACCCTTGAGTTGCGCTCTACCTTCGTTAGATCTAAGACTTTACAGAGGGGCATCACAATATGCATCCATCAAGATGTACGTGTACATGCAAAAGCATTCAACAATTATCGTTATGGGACAAAGAAATACAAAATGCAAAAGAAATATGAAAACGAACAGGTCTTCCAAGGTCTATAATTTATTATAACATTTCTATATTAAAATATGGAAGTGTAGTCATAGTGGCCATCCTTCTCAGAGAAGTTCCAAGACATTGATTCGACAAACAAAAAGGACCCTGCAATATCATCAGAGTATTATCCATTAAATTGTTAAAAAAGAAATTCAAGTCTCTTATATTACCATTTGGGATCATTTAACCAAACTTAGCTATAAAATAATCTTGCAGAAATAACACCAATGCTTACGGAAGAACACCAACAAAAACATATAGAATGGGCGCAAAAATATCTTAACAAAAACTGGAACCGAACAGTATTTACTGATGAAACAGCTTTTCAGTTGTTCAGAAACACTGTAAATTATTGATATAAAGATGAACAGCCAGTACGACGAATTCCAAAAATGAAAATAATCTTTGCTTGTGATGAATTTTGGTTAGGAGATAAAACAATGAACGGTTCATTTTGTGTTGGAACTTTAAAAAAACACATCCCTGAAATTGGAAGAATGCTTGGTAGTCACTGGCAATTCCAACAAAATAACGATACCAAGCACACAAGTCGTATAGTCAAAGCATTTTTGAAAAAATGCTCCAAAAGTAATTAATTGGCCTTGATTTAAATTCAATCGAAAATTTATGGGTAATATTAAGGGAATGTTGAAAAACAGTGACCAAAAGATTTAAACAAATTGGAACTATTTATAATGGAGGAGTGAAAAAATTTCAAGCACTTTAGTAAATTTGATGGGATCAATACAAAAACTTTGTAGGCTTGTAATTGAAAAAAGTTATCTTACATGTAATTTACTGTAAATGTAAATTGATGAATTAAGAACAGACGAAAAAAAGGATAGCATGAAAATAAGAATAAACGGGATTATATATAATAACGATAGAACAGAATAATAACGAAAGAATGAATACGAACATAACTGATTATAATAGGGATAAAGAAAATATATATAATTACAAATAACGGAAGAGATTAATTAACGAATAAACAGAACTTTGTCGCGAAAGCTTTTTTGATCAGTTCAGTAAACGAAATGCATTAAACACGTCGTCAATCGAATTTCCGGCTTCATTATTAGCATTTATCATGGAAGTATGAGTATCAATAATGGTTGTTGAGTGGAGATATGATATTGAATTTCGTCGCGGAACTTGATGATAGATTATCGCTTGAGAACCTAACAAAATCATTTTGAAAGAAAATAACTGCAAACAGTAAATAATTTTTTATATATATTTTAAAGTGTCATTTAGAAAGAATTAATGCTATTGATTTAGTAAAATGCGGGTATGCATGCAGTATTGGTACCATATACATGTACACGTATTTCTCTAAGTTCTGGAAAGTCAAGAAGTCGACTTGTGTAAAACGCATCTTTATGAATTTCTTGTGGTGTGTTTTTCTGCGTTTGAAAAATATCACATCTTCTTTCCTCAGCAACTTTAAATTCCTCATTGATCTCAGTTGGTTCTGGGTTATCACATATATCAGTTATCCAATCGCTAAATGTCTCATTCAATTCAAATGCTGTTGGTCTTTGACTTGGATCACTTGCCCAGCATCTTTTCATCAAATCAGAAAAACATTTCGGCGCATTTTCAATGTCCTTTGGTCTAATCCCATTGCAAATATCAATTGCTAATGCGATGTCATGCGCTCTCTCAGCGAATGGTTTTTGTCCAGTTGCAAGTGACCACATAATAATGCCGAAACTATAAATATCAGCTTCTTTTGATTGGTTTGCTCCAAAAAGAACTTCTGGTGCAATATAGGGAAGAACACCATATGATTTATCAGTTGGGATATCAACTGGTCC